TTTTTACTTTTTCCGTCTTTTTTGGATAAATATTAATTTGAGTTATTTTCTTTAATTCTTTAATTCTATCTTGCTTTACTCGCTTTTTTATTATCCCCTCTAATATTCTTGTACGTATGTACCGTGTTGGTGCGTTTCGGATTTTCATCTTTTCGTGTATCGATTTTTACAACTTCTACAATGCGTGTGCAGTCCTGGAACCAAGCTAGTTCGACACGTGAGTTGTTATCCGTCGTTTATATGTGGGTCGCCATTTTAGTATCAACCATGGATTCTATAGACGAGAATTACATTCGATCACTTGTTTGGGCTGGGAAGACACACAGAGAAATTGCCGGCATTTTACAAGCTGAACTTCCTTCGACACGAAGAGGTTTAAGCGAGAGAAATGTCCGTCAATATTGTTCTAAGAGAAACATTCATCGTCAAACTTCTTTTGAGTTAGATCAGACAGTTCGACAATGTGTGGAGGAGGTAAGAGTCTACAAATGAGATTGAAAAAATCCCAATGTTATTCATGATTTGACTCAGTTCCTTATGATGTTTGATTAGGTAGGGCCTAGCTATGGTAGAAAGATGATGGCAGGCTACATCTATAGCCGTTATGGAATGAAAGTTGGACAACGCAGATTGCAGAGTAGTCTACGACGTGTATCACCCGTCTACCATGAACAAAGAAGAAATGATTTAGTCCGAAGAGCAAACCCTGTTCCATATTATTCCCCGTACCACGGCCATAAGCTTCACATTGACCAAAACGAAAAATTAAAAGACTTTGGTGTCACACATGTATGTTTTAGTGATGGTCATAGTAGTCAGATTGTTTGCATTCTGACAATGCCGATAAAGAATCCAATAGTGATTTATGAAGGTCTATACAGGTAAGGAAATTGTTCTGTTTTTTATTGCTGTCTGTCACTCGTAGGGGATCCCTGTTTTGATCAAAGAAGAGGTTCCTGTGTAATTAACACGTGACAAATAATTTTTTGTGCATAATTTAGTCATTTAGTGCAATTCGCTGCAATATCTGTAAGCTTTAGACGATTTACGTTTTTTTGAAAAGGTAAAAATTACTAACGGGACTTTTGCTCCTTTCTCGATAAAGTAATATTTTTCAAAACGCAGCTGTGGGGTTTTCTCTGCTGCATGATTATACAATTTTTCGCGACGTCGTTGCAATAACGATAACAGTGGGAATGTTAACCAGTTTTACCTAAGGGACGATCCATTAGACTTTTTGGGGGGATGGAAGATTTTGAAAATAAACTATTTCCTACAAAGCAAAATTTTGAAAAATCTTCACTAAAGCTTTTGTACATTTACCAAAAAAATTGCAAGCAGGCGCCTAAAGTCCAAAAAAATTCTTGCACCAACTAGATCTCCCCCCCCCCCCTCCCCGAAAAAAACGTCTAATGGATTGCCCCTTAGGTAAAACTAAGTGATGTAGGCGTGGTTACAAAATGCACCTAGACTATCATGGCATTTCGTGCGAACGTTTAACAAATGTTTGTTATACGGAATATGAATTATGGACAGAGTTACTTCTTGATTGACATCTCTTCAGGAGGGTGGGGAATATCCTTAGATCATCAGGGAGAGATGTCTTTCCACATTTGAAAAAAATGGTGATATATTTGATTTGAATGCTCTCTTAATGTAGAATGTTTTAGCAGTTCAAGTCAGTCCATGATATTTTTGTTTTGACCAAGTAGTGGTTATTAAACGACGACATCCCCTCAATCAGACTAAATGAAGCATTGAAATACTGAATAAAAATTGAATTGCTTTCGTTATCATTGAAATTATTGTTAGGTCTCTGTTGGTAAATAAAGGTATATGGGATATGGTCAGAGCAGATCACGGAACTGAATGGTGCCTACTTCTTTTCATTCAAGACTACCTGAAGGATTTTCGTGGCTTTAAACGCTGTGAGCCTTACTATCAAACGAGATCTACTGATGTAAGTAAAAACACTTGCGACAGCAGACTAATAGGTCTGCGGACCGTTATCTTTCTGATCATGCGCACGCATGGAATGTCTGGTTGTTAGTATTTCTGTCGGCCATCTTGTTATATATTGACTCGTTCATCATTATTAAAAGATCTTAAAAGGCTGTTTATCGTTACGTGCTGGCCTATTTACTGGCGTTGCCAGAATTTTGTTCGCATTCATCTGAAATTTCATGAATTTCTGAAGGAAAAGTAGGAAAGTCTCGGTACAGTTGCTATTATCTTCAAAAATTTCAAACCGCATATCAGCTAATATCCGAATATGGGATGTGTTACAATTACTTATGAAAGGACAGCCGGAGTGAGCGTTTGCTCTCATCAGTTTTGTCAGTTCTTTCTGTCCGAATCTTTCGAATTAGGTGGATATCAGCCGATTTGTTAAATTCGATCAATTTTTCCAATATACATTATAAACATTTTTCTTCTTTAAAAAATATAGAATTTGCCTGCTGAACGGAAGTGGGTTGAGATTAATCAAAGAACAAACTACCCAATCAAAGAAGCGCTGATTGACATGCAAAGGCGACTTGTTATAAACATGGCTGACCCGATTGAAAAGTTCTGCGTTTCTTTTGTGTCAATTATCGTTGCTGAAGTTGGAGTGGCAAAGGCTGTGGATGCCTGGAATGAACATCCCATTGAAGGTATTACATTCAATGCCGAAACTATAACAAGCGAAATTGGAGCGTAAGAGTATTGTAAATTTTAGTTAATTAAAACATTGAATTCAATAAATTACGAAAATAATGTATATTTGTTGTGTGAGCAAAATCAGTAAATGATTGACCCGAATATTGTTTCATGTTGTTTAGTCAGGCAATACACGAACCCCCACGAACCATTGCTAGTGAGTATATTCTAGAGGCCCACTCCAATGAAAGCTTATTAAAAACTGCTTGCACGACTGACCAGTAGATAAGATGAAAACTTAGATTATTCATCGACTGTTTATAAGTTATTATAAAATCTCGACTGATGCTGTATTTTGCAATTCTCTTACATTTTACAGGTAACCGTCAAAGAATACCAAACACAAGGGCAGAACTGTCCAGTCCCTTTGTCCCCACTCAGACCTGAAGATGTCCCAACTACGGAAGAAGCTATTGCAATGTATGAAGCAAATGGTGGTCGACTAACGAGAGAGAGCACATTTGGTGAAGACCCCTTACGAGACCACCCTACCCTTGTTGCCGAAAGAGATAGGCTCTTTCAAGAATCAAATCCTGACGTGAATTACATTCAAGGCAACTTGGCTAATGGATATCCAGCACAATTCGAAGCTGCTGTTCTCTCATTTATTGACATAACAAAAAGACTGTCTTAGTATAACAACTTTCTAGCAAATATAGCTATTTGGTATATCAGAAAAGGTTATCGGAGAGCTTTGGTGATTTATTATTGTTGAACGGCGATTACACTACACAACCGAAAGGAACTTTTACCACATAAAGAAAAACAAAAGGAAACTCTCAAGAATATTCAGTCGTTAACGCCAACTTTAGAAACACCTTTACTTCCTTTAGATTTTAAATTGGACGTCTCTACACGTCATGACTTAAAGTGTAGCAAAAAAGTTAAGTTAAAGCCTTAAAGTCACCTAGACGTCTTAGCCTTCTTATTATAATTTTCTTGCCATTAATTATCACTGTTCTACATCGGTGTTAACCTCTGGTTAACAGCGCGGAACCGAAAATGAGGGCATCCTGTAACTCAACATAAAAAATACAAGGTTTAGAGCTGGCTTATCAAACTCTCTTAACTTTAAATGAACATTTACAAGCTGTTAGTTAATGCTTATAATAACAAGTTTTTCAACATCTTAGGATATATTAATAACAACAAAGTCCTCACTGCCCGTTTTCTTGAAGATCATTAGCATCAATGGAGACTAGTGCTTCCTGTAATTCTCTTATTACAGGCACTGTTTTGTACTCCCCTTCTGCTCTGCAAAGTGGACACATGAACTCTGATGTTGCCTGATTATCATCCCTCCACTGTTCAACACAGTGTATGCAGCCTATGATAGCTTCACAAGAACTACAACAGGCTGCTGGCAATTTTGTGGATCCAAAGCAAATGGTACACCTGAACACATTCTTCAAAAAGGAAGTAACATGTGTTCCTCTTTGTGCAGCAGACTCTGTACCTTCTTGAGCATCTTTCACTTTGGACAAGTCTTCTTTCATTTTCTTAAGCTCAGAAATGACCTCTTTAAACTCTGAACTGCTTGTTTGTTGATCTGAGGATCGCTTCCTCTTTCCTTCCAAAGAACCAGCAGATTCAACTGGAATGGCATACACTTTTCTTGTAGGCTGCCAGAAAGCATGACCTATAGTAGATTTGTAAGAAAGTGTTATTTTAATTATATATTGAGTGTTCTTGATACTTGCCTAGCTAAAATTCCAGGGGCAGGGGGATGTGGTAGTGGGATCAGGTTTTAAGAGTTCAAGAGTGCTTACCCCAATTTTTTTAATTTACATAGATGCTCTACCATTTTAACCATTATAGGGAGTTAACCCTATTGGAGTTAAAATTCCACACCCTATGTGGTAAAAATAGAAATTCTGACTTTGTAAATTACTTTAAATATTTCACATAACAAGCATTAACTTGAATGATTTTGTATTAAAACTCAATTTGGTATTGAATGTGAGTGATTTAAGGTGTTTCAAGTATACAATTTACCTTATAGAACCTATTAATATCCCTAGACTTAGGGGAATATAACCCCTAGTTTCAGTTGTAATTTTAAGGTTTTATAACATTTACTGCTACTAGTGATTTCTGTATAATAATTGTACTTCTGTTATCAAAATGGAAATCAATTATTTTCAAAAGAAAAATTATACTAAAAAGAAACTAACACTATAATCACCATTTGCAACTCATTTCTTGCCTAATTGAATGTTGACATTTTTAGTTAATAGTTTTAATCAGCTGACAAAAAAGTTCATTGATCATAAAAGGGGTGTTACTAAAAGGCGAAACGGCGAAACGGCGAAACGACGAAACAGCGAAACAAAGAAACAGCGAAACAATACAACTACCACAATGTACCACACATGATCCCTGGATTTCATTTTTGCCTATTTCGAGTTTTAATAAAAGAAAACGGGCTATTTTTTTTAAACATTGGCGCATCGGGCATGTTAGTAATCTGTCATCGTCTAAAGATAACAGTCTCTGCAACACACAACGTTCTGTCACGCCATTTGAATCCACTCAGTTCACATACGAGTAGCATCTCCAACGTTTCTCTAGTAACAAAAAGGAAAATATAAAATCGAAAAAAAAGAAACACATAAAAATTCGACGAGCTGAAATAGTTGTAAAGAATATATTAYATCTCGGTGAATTTGAAGTACATGCTCTAAAGCAGGTCATTCTTGTAAGYCATTCTCGTGTTACTCGTGTGGTCTGGATATTTTTAGCAATCAACGATCTTCTACAAACATGTTAAAAACATTGCCGGTTCGACAAAAAATGATGTCATCGTGACTATCATAACACATGATAAGTGGAAATTTCAGCTACTCAGAACATCGGGTGATATTTGAAGATTTTTCATCATATTGCAGTAATATTGCAGTATATTTMAGGGTCCTTTTAATTCCAAAACAAGTTATGATTATTTAACAAAATTGTGTTTGCTTAAATTACTATAGAGTTTTCTAAATACATTCATACATGTTAGTTAGGTTATTTGAAATACACGCTCTAAACTAGTACGTAGTCGTTTGTAAGTCATTCTCGTGCCATACTCGTGTGTAGCCTGGATGTTTTTAGCAACCATCAGGAAATTTTAGCGTGATATTTGAACATTTTTCATATATTGCAGTATATTATACTCATAGTATGCAGTCATYATGCGTTCTTAGTTTTGAAGATGCAAACCTTGGAACCCGAAATTTCTTTTTSAATTGAAGAGTAACTTTACAAATACACTGTAAATTATTATGAAAATTATTATGTTTTCATAAAAAAAGCTATCAAAATAGATACGTTTCCGTACGAGTTGGACTCTATCATGCGGTGAAAACGTTCGGTCAGTTCCCCACTTGATCATTCAAAAACTGCCTAAATCTGAATTATAAAGGACTGTGTACATTTAAGATTTTTGTTTCAAACATGCTTGAAATTTAGCTGCAACTTCGCGACGATCGTTTGTTTCAGGTACGATTTTAGTTGCGCGATAACAAAGTGGCGATTATCTCGCGACAATCGGGCTGCAAAAATCSCAAGTGTAAACGGGGCCTTTCCAGAACATGATTTCTATATTTAAAGTCGAATACCCAATACTTGGTATATTTTTTGCTTGTGGRAGTCGGTCAATAATCTCACAACATTTGGAGAAATGTTCACTAAACCTGGAATAAACAAAGCACTTTTCTCTTGGATACATGTTAATTTTAAATGGAAGTATACATTTCCAGGCTTGCTTTTCTTCTTCATGCCATCTTCAAAATAATCTCGACGCATATTTGAAACGATCACCAAGTCACAGGGCGGAGGGGGGATTTGACCTTGAATTTTCAACACATCTTCGCAGCCAAAACACTTTTGAACCCTGGCATCACACTGGCCAAGCAAGCAAAGCTCAAATGATCCAGGGGCTGGATGTGGTCTATACTTTCCTGCTTGTTGCTGCCACTGCTGTTGTTGGTTTGGTTGTAGTGGCTGTTGATGGTGCAGTTGGTGCTGCTGTTGCTGCCACTGCTGTTGTTGTTGGTTTGGTTGTAGTCGCTGTTGATGGTGCATCTGTTGCTGAAGATGCTGGTGCCGTTGCTGCCACTGCTGTTGTTGGTGGTTCGGTTGTAGTGGCTGTTGATGTTGTTGCTGGTGCTGCCACTGCTGTTGCTGTTGGTTTGGTTGTAGTGGCTGTAGTTGCTGCTGTTGTTGCCATTGCTGTTGCTGATGGTGTTGCTGCTGCCAATGGTGTAGGTGGCCCTGTGCTCCTTGAGTAAAGAATTGCTGATGGTTTTGCTGTTGCTGTACCTGCTGTTGTTGGTTGCGCTGATTTTGAGGTGCTGAACCTTGAAGTCCTGAATGTGACATAGTAGCTGTGTGTCGCTTAGTAACTGTGTGCACTTCTTGCTTATTACGAGTGACACTTCCCCACCTTTTAGCTGCACTCTTGCTACCGGCGTTTTTTGGAGTTCCTGTCAGAACTAGTTTAGTCAGGTTGGCTTCCCGTTTCAGATTTCCCCTCCATCGGACAAATTGCCGTAGCTGACCGATTCTTTCGGCAACAGCAATAGAATGGGAACACATCTGTTTCCCTCGCCATTGTGGACAATCAGTGTCACATTCGATTTTTCCCATCGCTTTTACAACCACAAAGTGTGGTTTACTGGACTGGCTTTCTACAACGAAAGTGTCACGTTGTGCATTACCCGGAGCACATACAATGGCATCGTTACCTTTTTCAAGAAGTCGTTCGGCCTTGGTAAGCATCCCCTTAACTGCCTCAACCGGCATGCTTTTAATGGATCCAATAATTTCTTCGTGGGGCATTGAAAGTCCATTTAAGGTCGGACTAAGAACATTTTGTCCTTGCAACGTAGAATGTACAGCATTTTTTACTCCTCGGAATTTCAAAAGAGATTTTTCTCTCTCCTTTGAGTCAAGATTGTACCATTGTAAAGGGCTTACAAATAAATGCTTGCAAGAATCGTCAAGAATGTACTCGCCAGCACTGTAGATAGCTTTTTCAGCTTCCAGGTACTGGTTTTCCACAAGTGCCTTCAATTTTTCGTTGAATGCCGGCCACGAACTCTTGGAGTATTCGACCCACGACTTCACTTTCCCATTTATACTTTCATTTCCGTTATCAGTGTATAGTTCCGGTGGGTGGCCATCTTTTGGAGCCTTCAAACCCGCTCTTATTCGCACACAAGATATCAGGCTTTCTTTAAAATTATCAGCTTGCTCTTTAAGAAACCAGGTATGAAAACCTGGAATCATTGCATCCCATTTCCCTTTGAGGCTGTCAAGTTGTGCATCGAAGTCGTCAGAACTCTCAGCGTCGATAAGTCCTGAGGAAATCACACCTTCCGCATAATCTCTGAATATGTCTTTAATTATTTCGTTTTTTATAGTGCTGTTCACTTTGAATTTGTTTTGCAGGCGATCTTCGATATTATGTTTTTTGTGCAAGTAGCAACGTAGGCCAGTTGTGTGAGGTGGTGGAAAGTTTATTACAAGTGCATTGAGAAGAGCTACTTCGCCGTCTGTGCCATAAGCTCGTAAATTTTGCAATTTTGGCTCCAAAGACAAAAGCGAATGTAAGAAAAAGTCATAGTTTTCAGTCTCTCTGCGCATGTGAACAAATGAAGGGCCAAGGAAAACGGGGTGCCTATTGGTTCTGGGATTGATCAGAAACGGGTGCCTGTATGTTGTTAGAGTAACATAAAAGTTACCCAAGTTGAAAGTTGGATCTATTCCCCATACAGATCGAGATGATTCACCAGTACAAAAGCGAACAATATCTCTTAGCTGCTGCTGAGATGCAAGTACAGTCTCAGGAGTATCAGAAAATTGTACCTTTCTTACAAAACCTTTGTCAGGCTTTTGCTGGTCGATCTTTAGCTGTTCCAAAAGCTCTAGCATTTCGTCTTTTGTTTCATTTTGTCTTTCGTCTTTGTTCTTCAGATTATACAGCTGTTTCATGTTTCTAGGCTCATTTGACCTAGTCGATGACTGCAACAATCCTCCTGATGCAGAATATACATCTGCACATGCTTTTTGAAGACCCATTGTAGTGGTTTTATCTCTGAGCTCCTGGAGTGTCGACGGTGCTGTCCTCATATA